GAAAAATCAATTAGGAAAAGTTGAGCTTCATAAATATTTTGTATCTTAAATGCCAGCCACACAGTGTTTAAATTTCAGGAAATGGTGCTGATTTCTAGAACACAGCAGAAGCTGACTGGACTTCCACGTCTGCTAAGGAAACCTGTGCGCTTCAATGAGTCCCGAGTAGGAAGACTGACTTGTAATTGTCTGAATACGTTTTTTTTTTCTTTTTCTAATTTGCCCTTTGCTGTTGACATTAACTGCCTTAGAACTGTTACAACCATCCATAATTAATACACACTTGCCCAGAAGGACTGAAGAGGACTTACACTATAAGACAGGAGAAAAGAACTAACCCACTAGGGGGTTGGAAACAATAAATTTTTAAAGGTAAGATCAAGTCTCTACAGGGAAAATGGAAACTAGGGAAAAAATTAACAGGCCCCAATTTTATTTCTAAATAGTGTATTTTACAGAAATAGCTTATATCTGCAGTCCTCAAGAAAACTCCCATCCCAGAAAAGCATACACTTTTGTTGGGCTAGAGCGGTCATATAACTGTGAGAGTGAGATGGGGGGCTCAGAGAAACTCTAAAAAAGAACCTCCAGAACTTCCCCCCCCCAAAAAAAAATCTATCTGTCTACATATAGAGCTCCTTCAGAAGACAGGAATTTTAAAACCTGACACTTTAGAAGTATGGACGCTCACATGCCCAGGTCATACTGTCGTATCGAGGCAGCAGTCTTGACAGCCTAAGCTTTAGCATAGATCCATGCATGTTTGTACACTGTTTTCTAAGACGCTGATAGTGTTTAAATGGAGTCATGTAAAAATACAGTTCCTCTCCTTCTATTTGTACTACCCGTGGGCACATTCCATCTTTATCATCCCCATCCTCCTTCACCAGACTACCAACATGTACCCAAACACAGCTCAGTGTAGAGTTACAAACCAGGATGTGCTTACTCTGGCCCTTAAAAGAATTTATGATCTGAAGGGAGAAGGGGGAAAAATAACACCAAAAATAAAATTGCCAAATACTGGAGTTCATTAGCTCACATACCAAGAAATAGGAAAGAGTGATGGTGTGGGTAGTGAATAGGAGGTGTCTGCTTACCTTACATCTTTTTTTTATTGGATATCTTATTTACATTTCAGATGTTATCCCCTTTCCCCATTTCGCCCCTCTGCCCAGGAACCCCCTATCCCATCCCCTGTCCTCCTGCTTTTATGAGGATGTGTCCCCATTCACGCCTCCACTCCCACCTCCCCACCCTCGAATTCCCCCATATTCAGCATCCAACCTTCATGGGAACAAGGATCTCCTCTCCCACCTATGCCTGACAAGGCCATCCTCCCTTACATATACAGCTGGAGCCATGGGTCCCTCCCTATGTGCTCCCAGACTAGTGGTTTAGACCCTGGAATCTCTGGTTGGTTGATATTGTTGCTCTCCCCATGGGGCCGCAAACCCTTTCAGATCCTTCAGTCTTCTCTCTAACTCCTCCATTGGGAACCCCTTGATCAGTTCAATGGTTAGCTATGAGCATCTGCCTCTGTATATGTCAGGCTCTGGCAGACCTCTAAGGAGATAGCTATGCCAGGCTCCTGTCAGCATGCACTTCCTGGCATCCACATCAGTGTCTACCTTTGGTGACTGCACATGGGATGGATACCCAGGTGGAACAGTCTCCAGACGGCCCCTCCTTCAGTTTCTGTCCCACGCTTTGTCTCCATATTTGCTCCCATGAGTATTTTGTTACTCCTTCTAAGAAGGACCAAAGCACCCACACTTTGGTCTTCCTTCTTAATGAGCTTCGTGTGGTCTGTAAGTTGAATCTTGGGTATTGTGAGCTTTTGGGCTAATATCCAATTATCAGTGAGTGGATACCATGTGTGTTCTTTTATGATTGGGTTATCTGACTCAGGATGATATTTTCTAGTTCCATCCAATTGCCTAAGAATTTCTCGAATTCACTGTTTTTAATAGCTGAGTAACATTCCATTGTGTAAATGTACCACATTTTCTGTATCCATTCCTCTGTTAAAGGGCATCTGGGTTCTTTCCAGCTTCTGGCTATTATAAATAAGGCTGCTATGAACATAGTGGAGCATATGTCCTTGTTATATGTTGGAGCATCTTCTGGGTATATGCCCAGGAGTGGTATAGCTGGGTCCTCAGGTAATGCTATGTCCAATTTTCTGAGGAACCGCCAGACTGATTTCCAGAATGGTTATACCATCTTGCAATCCCACCAACAATGGAGGAGTGTTCCTCTTTCTCCACATCCTCACCAGTATCTGCTATTACTGAGGTTTTGATCTTATCCATTCTAACTGGTGTGAGGTGGAATCTCAGGGTTGTTTTGATGTGTATTTCCCTGATGACTAAGGATGTTGAACATTTCTTTAGGTGTTTCTCAGCCACTCAAGTTTCCTTAGTTGAGAATTCTTTGTTAAGCTTTGAACCCCATTTTTAATAGGGTTATTTAGTTGGCTGGAGGCTGAACAATGCTCTCCTCGATGATAACTTGGTCAAGGAAGAAATAAAGAAAGAACTTAAAGACTTTTTAGAATTTAATGAAAATGAAGGCTCGTCATACCAAAACTTATGGGACACAATGAAAGCAGTGCTAAGAGGAAAACTCATAGCTCTAAGTGCCTCAAGAGAGCATACACTAGCAACTTGACAGCACACCTGAAAGCTCTAGAACAAAAAGAAGCAAATACACCCAAGAGGAGTAGATGGCAGGAAATAATCAAACTCAGGACTGAAATCAACCAAGTAGAAACAACAAGAACTATACAAAGTATCAACAAAACCAGGAGCTGGTTTTTTTTTTTTTGAGAAAATCAACAAGATAGATAAACCCTTAGCCAGACTAACCAGAGGGCACAGAGACAGTATACAAATTAATAAAATCAGAGCTGAAAAGGGAGACTTAACAACAGAAACTGAGGAAATTCAAACAATCATCAGATCCTACTACAAAAGCCTATACTCAACAAAACTGGAAAATCTGGATGAAATGGACAATTTTCTAGACAGATAGCAGGTACCAAAGTTAAATCAGGATCAGATAAACCACTTAAACAGTCCCATAGCCCCTGAAGAAATAGCAGCAGTCATTAAAAGTCTTCCCACCAAAAAAAGCCCAGTATCTTACATCTTTAAACCCTTACTGCAGATGCCCCTGGTGGCTGAGGTGGGAAGATCCGCATTGTTAAGGCAGATTCTACTTTTCCTTACCCCGTGTCCTGCAGACAATTGGGAGTAGACTATCGGTCCCATTTGCTTAGAGGGCATCTGTACAAATAAGGCCATTCAAAGTTTGGACGCTGGTTGGCACTTGGATTTGGGTTGTCAAAGATTTAGCCTGTAAAAATGCAAGAGGCTCAAGTAGATTTAAAGTTTTGATAAGAATTTTTTTAATGTAAGTTTCATGCAACATACATGTAAATATGCAGAGCCAATTCAGACACTGCATGAGACGTAGTAGACACTTTTCATTGCTTCTCTGAAACTCCACTTCATACAGCTGCCTCTCCTTTGCCCTAGTTCGAGGTCTATCCCTGGCCTGCCTTTGAAAGTAAAAGTTGATAGCCTGAGTGAATGAGCTGACTCAGAGACACAGGTTCTCACGTCCCTGGATGTCTTTAGGTTAATGCTGGTTCTTTGTCGACAGAGAGCAGTCCCTGATTAACTGATGTAGAAGGCACTGGAACATCCATCTCCTAGCAACTGCACAGTGGTGGGAGGAAGGAGGTGCTGCCCTGTGACACTGTTCCTTTGAATCCAGTCTTGCAAGGAGGCACAAAGGAAATGCTTATTGATTGTGCCTCCTCTTCCATCTTGAAGGGGAAATGAACATTAGCTATATTTATTTCTAATTTAATTGTACGTTAGCTACATTTAAAACGTAAAAAAAAAAGAAAACTAGCCTAAATGTCAAAATTGTAGCAATCATTGGCAATACTATAAATATTTAATAATATTATAATAGCATTATGGATAATATTTCACAATACATTATGACAGGTAAGAAAAGATTAGCAGATAGTTTGGTCAGTGTGGCTTTGCTTTTGTTTCTCAAAGGGATTCGTGTGGAGAAGTAGATAAGTAGGTTGACATCAAATGTGGGACTACAAGAAACTTTAAAGGACAGATGTATGTATGTGTCCATGCACATGTGTGTACAATTATGTAATTTTGTATATGTGTCATTTTGGAGTTCGAACACAGGCCATGTACCTGTCAGGCAAGTTCTGCACTAATGAGCCAGCATAAAATTTCCTTCTTGCATATTTTCTAAATGTCTATAATGAGTACATTTCATTTGAATTGGAAAAATAAGAAATTAAAACCTTTCAGTTGTGAAGTCATCCTTTGTAAGAACAACTGAAGCTACACTTTATTCCTATAATGCTGTAACTTGAGAGTTAAACCAAGGTTTGGCTTTTTAGAATTTTTAGAGTTGAAAATAGCCAGATTCTCACAGTCTCTCTCTCTGTCTCTCTTTCTTTCTCTCTTTCTCTCTCTCTCTCTCTCTCTCTCTCTCTCCCTCTCTCTCTCTCTCTCTCTCCCCCTCTCTCTCTCCCTCTCTCTTTCTCTCTCTCTCTTTCTCTCTGTCTCTCTCTCTCTGTCTCTCTCTCTCTCACACACACACACACACACACACACACACACACACACATTTCAGAGTCACGCAACTAAATTTACTCCCTTCCAGTACATTTTCTAAGATTTGTCTGTCACCGAATAACAAGGCTCAGGTGGCTTCTTTGAGAGGCCCCATCAACTGTCTCCGGTTGGCAGTCTTGTGGGTGGCTGACCTCACTAGCCAGGGTGTACATTCAAAATCTTTCCTGTTGTTAGTCACACAGTTTACTCTGTGTCAAATGTATCTGAGCCTAAAGAGTATTGCAGAATTTCTTGTTCCTCTTTGCAGTATATAAAATGATTCAGGTGTTCACCAAAGAAATGGCCTGTTTGACATTTGTGTTGTTTTTCATACAGCTGATGGAAAATGCCTCGTGTCGGTTGGTTTAGATGATTTTCACAGTGTTGTGTTTTGGGACTGGAAAAAGGGAGAGAAGATAGCCACAACCAGGTAAGAATCACAGAATGCTCAGGACCTGCCCATAGCTCCCCTCGGGGAACGTCAACACTTTCCATTTTCCGCTTGGAGTTCATCTTCAAAGTCGGATGAAATTCACATAGAAGCTTAACACGTTACTGAACACATACTGCTCCCTTTCACAGTGCCAAGACTACTTTAAATGTCTGTAGTGAGAAGTTAGAACATTCTAGAATGCTCCCCAAGCAGCTCTTCATCATCTTCTGTAATCCTTTCATTATCTCTATAAAGGCTTATTTTCCCCAGCAGCAGAAAAATGTGTGCCTCACCTCTTGTGTCTCTGTCTCAGCAGCTGGGAGGGATTGTCAATGTCACTGGAATCAGAACCTCCATTTGTCATGAGGCTGTGGCCTGCTGGAAGGGAAGCCCTATCGAGTGTATCTGCTGCTCGGTTTCAGAGTAGGCAAATTGTTTCCCTAATCTCCACACCCTATAAATAGGCTCTCAGGACCAACTGCTGTTTATAGCCCATCTGTCCTCCCTTACCCCAGCTTTTCTTTCTGCCTCCTCAGCACTAAGGCTGAACATGACTCTCTACTCACGTCTAGCTTGGCCAAGTGCAAGGCCTGATCAGAGAGAGGTCAGAACCACTGACAGCTACGGTCCGGGAAGTTCGTTTGTTGCCCAGGCACAGTTTCATGTCCTCTCTGTGAGCTATGACCTACACTGCCAACATCCTGTCTGTGTTGCAATATCAACGTAAATGGCCTTGAACTCTAATATTTACTTTTTAAATAAATACTGTCTACTACAGTGTTACATGGGAACAAAAGCTTGTGGTAGTTGATTGTAATGAACGAAGTTCTATAAAGGACTGGAGATGGAAGAGAGCTGCAGCTGGAGTCCTGAGGACTGCAGCTGACCTTAGGAGAGGAGCTGTTCTGAAACGGCTGGCGAAAGGCAGCTCTTGGCAGCAGTAACACTCCCAGCTCCACCTGCCTGCGAGCTTCTCTCCTTTCTTTCTCTGGTGTCCCTCATTCTAACTCCACTCCCTCCAGGGCCTGTTTTCCTCCCAGACTGAACACTGAATTTTTGTTTAGTATTCCTGATAAGGTATTCTCTGCATTTACATATTATCTCAAAAAAAGCCCATGTCAACAATGAAAACTCAAGGCCACCGCTCTGCAGCTGTGTGTGGCTCACAGCAGCACATCGGAGACACCATGAGAAATACAAGAGTACTTCCTACTATTAAAAAGTCTATTTTTACAGGCTATGGAGAATATTACTTCTGTCTAATTAGCACAAAGCAAGCTAATTCCATCATGTTAGTGACAGTTTATGTTTGAAATTGTTCCCCAGGACTATGTTCACTCCAAAGACGAAAAATCTGCCGGAAGTATTGCCCTATAAGAGCGTTTTTTGTGATGGTGGCATTAATTAGTGCTCTTTCCCCAGTGGAAGGTCAGGAATCAGTGCCTCTCTATGGGAGAATATTAAATATTTTAAATACTGGATAAATATGTTTATATAATATTTATGCTGTTTGTACAAATATATAAATAACCAACTAGTTAAGTAAAAAACTGTAGAATGGCCCTAAGTGAAGTCCTAAATAAGAATCTAAAACAGGTAACAGAGAATTCCGGCTGTGTCAAGTGGCCCCTTCCTGGCTTGCAGTATCTCTGTCAGCTTCTGCCGAATAATTCCTGCACAGGGGCTGTGTGCCACCCCTAACTTTGCCCTGCTGAATCTAAGTTGTTGCCAGTGTCGCTTTGAACCACAGTGTTTCTAACCACAGCCTTGCTTTTGGCAAACTGTTCCAGCAGGACAGTTGCTCTTCAACAATGTGGTCACCAGGGTTGGGAATGTCCCCCTTAGGGGTGTGGCACACAGCCCATAGCTGAGATGACATCAAAGGCATTGCTGCTGATGCCATGTGCCATCTGCACTGCACTATTGGAGTCGCCCTTCATTATCAGCTCAGGGAAATAGACATTTAGAATTATCAAATAGGGGTCACATAAGATCTCCAGAGACTGAGCCACACTCTATTTGGATAGCTTTGTACCATTGCTAATTTCATGAATGATTTCAGCCAGCTATTTACAAATGGGATTTTTAGATGTACGTGTATCTGTCTGCTTCTGATTATAAAACTAAATTTATTTTAATTCTTTAAAGAAATTATTGGTATACCTATTTTGTTTTTAAGCTTTGTGGTAGCATATTAACTTTATGTAATAATGGGTTTCCTTATAATATTTTCATACATGTAGATAGTGTGTTTTGATTATATTCACTCCCCATTATCCTCTCCTGTTTCCCTCCAATCATTCTGTTTCCAACTCAGCTTCTGTCTTCGAGATGTGTGAGTGTGTGTGTGTGTGTGTGTGTGTGTGTGTGTGTATTAGGGTAATTTACAGCAGCATGGATGAGGGATTATTTAAGGAGCATGGGGAAGTTGCCAGTGACTGCCCTACTGAAGATGTCTCTCCCTACCAGCAATCATTAGTTGCCTATAAATGCACAGAGGGCAGGGCCTCTTAAGCCCCTCCTACCTCCAGGATGGGATGCTGATGGGCCTTTTGTTTGTTTGTTTGTTTTTTGTTTTTGTTTTTGTTTTGAGACAGGGGTTTCTCTGTATAATCCTGGAACTCACTCTGTAGACCAGGCTGGCCTCGAACTCAGAAATCTGCCTGCCTCTGCCTCCCAAGTGCTGGGATTAAAGGCATGCGCCACCACCGTCCGACCCCTGATGGGCCCTTTTATGTAGGCCTTATACAGGTACAGGTGCTCAGATACAGGAGTACCTGGAAGTCAGTTCTGCACAATCACCTTTCCTGCAGTTTTTAAACTGTTTCCTCCCTTTCTTGACTTGGAGGTGTGATACATTCGACCCACACAGAGCTGAGTACTCAGCCGTCACTTAGTCTCAGCATTTTGGTCAGTTATAAAGCTCTGCAATAACCTCCAACAACAACAAAAGGAGTTTCCATGACCCAAGCTGACCGTGGCGCTAAACTATGGGCATAAACAAAATATTCAAAAGACAATTTGACGAGAGACATCATGTCCACTTAGCAAAACATCAGTAGCTTCCTCATTATGGCCTGTGGCTTCTCCAGCCACAAGCTTTGGAGTAGGTTTGCATTCCGTCCTGTGGAGTCAGTCTCACATACAGAGAGACCTTGCTTGCTTACCTCCATAGCAACCATGCTATTATAGCACCAGTGGACACATCTTGCCTGGAAGTAAACGTAAACGTTGCATTGATGCGCATCCTAAGGTGATCTGACTCTGTAGGTGATTTCCTTTCTCTTTCAGCAGCTGTATGTGTGTCAGGGGCTCCAATTTATAGTGAATATATTTCTAGCCAAAGATCAGCTTAAGCTGAAAGATCTTACACAGGTTGTCCATTCCTTCTATTTCTCCTGCCCAAGACCTCACTATCTCAGAATTACATGCAATCATACAGTGGTGTGATTAATTTTATCTTATGGAGACTTTAGACTTCTTTTTACTGATAACTAAGCAGATAAAAGTGGAAATAATTAGGTAAAAGACAGCAGTCCCAAACATGCTCTCCCAAATGCTATTACTTCATAGGAGACTCTTGCGTGTTTTAAACATTTTTTGTTGCATATTAGTCCTATTAGATACCCTTAGTGAAAATTAAACCAAGTACATGTTTTAATATAACTCTATCAACACTTTCATTCCAACTAGGCATTATTTTTTCCCTGTTTATCTCTTACAGGGGACACAAAGATAAAATATTTGTGGTGAAGTGTAATCCACACCATGTTGACAAGTTGGTAACAGTTGGGATTAAGCATATCAAGTTCTGGCAACAAGCAGGTACTGTTCCGTTGTTATTTGCATTTCTCATTGTGCAGCTCTGAGGAGTCCTGTTGCCATTATGTGGCCAGTCTCTCTGCAGACTGAAGTTAAAATGTGCCTGGTTAATACCCTCTCCAGCTTTGCCTTGGACTGTTTAATGGTTAGAACTTAAAACTGAATACGATGCTGTGCACAGTCGCCGTGTCTAGAAAGTTTTGGAAAATTCTCTGTCGTGAAAACAATGATTTTTATAGTAAGTCATCTGAACTGAAAGCTGTAATTATGTTGTAGTGATGAGTAGGATGTAATTACTTTGGTTGAATGAATAAAGTTTTCAGTATTTTGAGGATTCTTTTAGTAATACATTGCCAAATTTAGCATATGAATTAAACCCTGACTCTGTACATAAAAGGTACAAAGTAAGTATCTGTTAGATTCTATGTTGACAAGAGTGAGAGATAAATAACCCTGAGTAACAATAGGAAAGTGGCCAATTCTTGTCATCTTAAGCCATTATTACAATTATATCTGAATTCTGAATATTAGCCATAATACCAAAGTCCAGTATTATTGCATACATATGTACATAGACCAATGTCCTGGTGCTTTTTGCTTTTACAAGAAGGACAGTAGTAGCACTCAGTGTGCGTAGAAGCCAGCCTGGATGTAATGTCCTGAATGGAGCTGGTTTTATCAGTGATGGTCAGAGAGTATAGAAAATTCTGGTGATTTTTTTCCTGTGTATTATCTCTCCTATACAACAGTTCCTTCTTTCTCCAGAACTGCCATGAAGACAAACTGAGGCAGACATATGTAGCCCTGACACTTTCCACATGCTGTCTGCTGTATTCTTTTCTTCCGTTTCATTGAAGCTTTCCTTGCTCCCCAGCCTGCGTCTCTGTCTTCAGCCGCACAGGGCTTACGCTTCACCTTGGGAGAAGGACCTACACCTAGTTTATGTGTGTGTGTCAGACTAGAAGGCATATTAATTCCTCCAGCTAACCATACTCGATTTCCCGAAAGCAGGGGTTCTGTCCAGGATTATATGCTGGCATTCAGTACCACATCTGACAGGAATGCCATAGATACTGACAGAGTGGCTGAGCCCCCTCCTGATGCCCTTGCTGTTTTTGTTACTTTGACACATAATGTAGACTGTCCTTTCCTTTATGTACTCTTGGGAAGCTTCTGCTCTCTGGGGTAATAAATCCCCTTGTTCCATTCCAGGTGGGGGCTTCACCTCTAAAAGAGGAAGTTTTGGAAGTGCTGGAAAGTTAGAAACAATGATGTGTGTTTCTTATGGGCGAATGGAAGATCTGGTGTTCTCAGGTGCTGCCACTGGAGATATTTTTATCTGGAAGGATGTTCTGCTGCTCAAGACAGTGAAGGCTCATGATGGGCCTGTGTTTGCTATGTATGCATTGGACAAGGTATGGTATGTTTGCCAGGTTCTTTTCCTTATCTGTTTTAGAACCACTGGGATGCCTGAATCTAAAAACCAGTCCTAGCTGAATTAGGAAGTTCTCAGAAAGGACTAACCAAAGGATAATAAAGAAGAGAACACACACAATTTTTTAATTTCTTTTGTTAGTAGCTGGCTGTCACCCCTAAAGGTCACTTCGGGAGTCTGGAGATAGATATGGGCACACAGCAGAAGGGACCCCTGGTGTATTTCAGTGACGACGTCCTTTCCAGTGACACAGCACATGAAGACCTAGAAGTACAAGTGATTTAGCTCATTGTCCAATGCATTAGTTTGTTATGACCAAAGGTTATGTTTTTAACTCGTTTGCTACTGAAGAGACTGGTTCAGTTACCAGGAGTGATCAAATGGAGTATATGTATGAGTTGTATTCCCACACCAGATCATTGTTCTAAACTTCCCAGCTACTCATCTGCCTCACCGTGTTCTCTACAAAGACATATTACCAGTGTGTTTAAAGCACTCTCTCCATAAATATGCCTGAAAATGACAACTTTTCATTCAGTTCTAATTTCCTGGTAGTACTAGTTCATCTGTGCCCTTCAGTTTCAGCAATTCAACACATTTTTAAAAATATATCTAGTAAATATGTTGAACCCACAACAAAGTAGATCTTTTTGGAAGTGCAGTTATAGTCATAGTTTTTCGTGGTGGAGCTGCTCTTTTACTAGCAAATTTGGTTTTGGCTGAATTGTAAATACTAGAAAAAATTAAAGCATAACGTAAAATTTGTGAGGCCTGGAAGTCAGTGGGTATAACCTAGTCAGTTGCTTTTAGTATTTAGTAGATTAAGCTATAAAATCACCACAAAAGCAAAAATAGCTCAATATAATATACTCTACTTACATTTAGTTTGAGGATTGACTCTCTTTGCTACAGTTCTACCCAGATGTTCTCAGTATCCACTGAACCCATCTAGAACCCTAGGGGATCCTAAGATCCAACGATCATCAGGTTCCTTATATAAAAGCTGGAATAGCATTTGCCTATATCCTTGGCACACACACACACGCACACACACACAGCATGTACTTAGAATTATGTATGTCCCACTGTGTACTTTGAATCTTGTCTAGGTTACTTATAACAAGCTAATTCAATGTAAATGCTGTGCAATCACTGTAGTTCAGCATTAGGAAAACAATGACAAGAAAGGTTCATAACAGATCCAGTGCTTTGTTTCTTTCATATTCTGTCTGTGAACACAGAATCCAGAGATGCAGAAGACCAGCTATAATAAGAATAAGGGTACTTACTATAATGAACTTCAAAATACTATTTCCTTGTGAGCTTGATTGAAATGTACTGAGCTAATTTTTCTCATTGGTTGGAGAATTGGCTCAGTGAGTAAGAGCACTGACTATTCTTTCAGAGGACCCAGGTATGGTATATGGTTCCATATACACATATATGGTAGCTCACAGTCGTGTATAATTTTAGTTCTTGGGAATCCGTTACCCTCTTCTAACATCCATAGACACTTCATGCTCATGATGTGTGTGTGTGTGTGTGTGTGTGTGTGTGTGTGTGTGTATGTATGTATGTATGTATGTATGTATATAATCTCATGCCTTCACAGGGCTTTGTAACAGGAGGAAAGGATGGAATTGTGGAACTCTGGGATGATATGTTTGAAAGATGCTTGAAGACTTATGCCATCAAAAGGGCTGCATTGTCAACCAGCTCAAAAGGTACTGAATGCTGAATATGCAACTGAAAGCATTCGCTTCACAGGAATGGGGGCAGTGATACCAACTTCTTAATAGTAGTGGTTCTTAGCCACTACTTTCTTCCAGTCAGAACTCTCAGTCTCTGGCAGGTATATCAAGGATGATTGACTAGTACCCAGTGTTGGGATTCAGACCCAAGACAAGTGGCTGAGGTGCATATTTAATATACCAAGACGGACCTGGGCTTCAGGCTCTTCCAGCGTCCCTCAGTCTCTGCCTGTCACAGGGCATGGCTGGCATACTCTGCCATCTACTGGAAACTTTCCAGCCCAAGGGCTGGGCTTCCTCTCACCCAAGAGGCTCTTCAAAATGTCACTTCCAGACATTCTTTCCTTTCCCCCCCTCCCTTCCCCCTCCCCTCCCCTTCCCCTCCTCCTCCCCTCCCTTCCTCCTCCCCTCCCT